CTCTACCATTTAAACTAAGTAAAACACGACGCCCAGGAAAAAAATAACTTAAGTCCACTCGTCACGCTACGTTATATTTTTACTTAATTTTCAACAAAATGAATGTCTACCTCAATCAGCAGTGTTGTTTTAAATAAGTAGTCCGGACATTAAGCGAGCTACGCAACTTTTATTCAAACACTGAGAAAGCCAAATGAACATTATGTTTGTTTTATGGTCTTGCAGTTGAAGCAAAAGCAGGAACACCGGATGAAGTAGTTTTGACTAAGTCACTTCCGGCAGCCACCCGCAAAACCACCCGTATCATTTTGCATTCTACAATATGCTCTGCACTTTTGGGAGATAAAATTCTTTCTGCATTTTAGGCAGCTGCTGTCTAGCAGAATAAGTTTGAACTGGCACGCACGGATCTGGCCTGAAGTGTGGTGGTTGGATGATCGACCCGTCTTAATATTCAAGTCCCCATAGACGGTTTGACTTAGAAGTGCGCATGCAATAGTCACTACTTGCTGCCACTAGTGGACGAGCGAGATTAAATGGACCATCTGACAAACATTTTTCGAGCCCAGCTGGTGTACATGGATATATAAATGGATATAAATGGACTACACCTACCTGGTAGAGGAATAATTAAGTTCCGCTTCGCTATGGAACTCACAAGTAGGGCCCGCACAAGCAGTCACATATAGGGCTGTAATGGATCCGACAAAGCAAAGAGAGACCGGAATGACTATTTTTGGTTTGTTTTCCGTCATCAGCCAGTCATACCTAATCTCAAAGTTTGGAACCCCCGAGAGTCGAACCCAAGGCCTTTGGTCATTGAGATTACCATTCAATCACTAATGTATATAAAACGACTGATAAGAAAGTAGTGACTCCAATTCAATACAATCAGATGCATCCTTTTGAGTCTTTCTTAGTTGGATATGACTGGTGCGCCGTTCGCCTGCAATCGAAATTTTGCACTAGACTTTTAACCCTTTCTATGGAATGCAAATAATGTCGAAGGCACTGCCGTACAACAATTTAAATTTGTTACGAAAATGTATCCGATTGCTACTAGCATAACTTGAAATAAACTGAGACTTTACTTTAAAATACTCCGAAGTTTAGCAATTGTTTCAAATTACTTATGCATATTTTGAAGGTTGCTCTGGAATTGCAGTCCAAAAATAGTAAAATGCGTAACGGGTAAATAACTGCTGCTGCCCCACACTCATGTCGGGATGCAGTAAGCATCTGACACTAAGGGGACCAAGAAAATATGCAGGGTCGACCGTAGTTCAATGAATCATGGTGCATTGTACACATCCTAGTTGGAGCAAGCCGAAAACGAGTAAGGTCACACCAACAAAATGAATGCAAACCATAGACAATAACGATCCGTGAAGGGAAAGAAGAAGAGACGAGGTGTGTTGCCTGTACTTCAGCTGGTTTGTGCCTACAATCAACGACTACAGTTACTCCTTGTCAGGAAGAACGAATCAGGAAAAAAATGGTAATGTCATAACTGAACTGTGTCCTCTTGGCGCAGCGGGGCAGCATATACAGAGACTTTAATTGGGAACTGAGGAAATATCAAATTATTTTCAACGAACTACTATTCAAAAAGAGGAAACACTGTTGTTTTAAAGGAAATCGCAAATTGTAGAGCGTTCGACCAAGCGGATGAGATGCGTTCTTTATGAGGTAGGTCATCGGCCGACACTCTCAAGTGGAGATGAATGCGGGCTTTAGGTTTTATTTATCCACTACGCAAATGATCAGAACAGTGCAGCAAATATTCCGTGAAAAAATCTGAACGCTTAATCAATTTCTGCTGAAGTATGTATACCAATATGGTGGCTTTCAAAACTCAGGAAAATTGAGTGTACTCTGGAAAATTAAAAATATTACGGAAATCCTGTAAACTTTTGAAAATGCCAGTGTCGCACGTCTTCGTAGTGGAAAGGAAACTGACATATTCCTGTTTGTTTTCACACTCAGTATCGTGGAGTGATCTTAGGTCATATTCCCTTTAACCGACTAAATTTTTACCAGATTCGAAATTTGAAAACAATGCTTGCCCAGACTTACAGAGTAGTTTTCGTTTAACATCATTGTAACAAGATATTTCACTTACTGGTTCGCCACGGTCAACCGTTCCTTTCCTTAAGACTCTATTAAAACAGTTTTCCCGAGCCGGAGAACGTTAGTCAACCTCAAGTGGACCACATTATCGTTGCTTCTCACAGTAACGGGAGTTTTTCGGGGTCTGAAAAAGGTTTAGTGCGTAATTCACTCGATATCGGGGTGGGCTGCTAATAATTATTAAATGTTTTCTACAAATTAACGAGAAAGACGGCTACAATGAGAGTTTAAGAAAATGGAGAATAAACTGATATCTGCATAAAACTCAGAAAACACTCTTATTCAACGACCTAACTATAAGGTCCCTATGACAAATATAAACATCATTGAGTAAAATGAACAGCCCTTTATACAGTTAAATTTGCCTTTTTGAAAAAAAGCGTGCAAGAAACCTCTTTTTTGGAACCATGATATTATTTCTATTTTTGAATGCAATGTAATCTATTCTTTTCCGTTGGCATTTTTGTCAACCCTATGAAATCGGTTTGGTGATGGATGTATCACAAATAGAGTCTTATTAAAAAAGGCCACATTTGCTGCACAATTAGTACTATTATACCATTTAAACGCTGTATGTGCGTCTCTTGGAGCAAATGTGGAAAATTCTTTTGACATGGTGCCTTGCTCTGTTAAAGACTTGTTTTTAACCCTTTTCCAGAATGCTCAAGAAAATGCATATATAACATACGGAATGTTCCCTCCTTACTTAGTCTCTAAATAATATACATATTGCGGTTTACACACCTTCTCATTAAACCTACTTGCGAAGATCCAGTATAGGTTTATTTTTCATTGTGAAGTTCTTTCATCCCCCGATTTAGAGGAAATCTCATATATAATTATTTTGCAACTTGCTGAAGCAACCGTGATGTAATATCCCCTTAAGAGAATATGCAAATGTTACATGCTTCCTCGCGTTTTATTGTTTTGACGGCGCCTGTGACCCAGAAGAGACGTAGAAAAATGATATAAATCGTGCATTTTTCTAGCGCGCGTCTGCCGTCATGTGAATAATACATTGTGATTGACATTTGTACGCTGCCATTAGAGTACTTAATATCTTTTTGAACTTTGTGCTGTGAATGATCGATTCTGTCTGTTCTTTTGAGCAAGTTCTACGCATCAAATTTCCTTCCTATTTATTTCATATTTTCAAGGGCCACTCGCAGATCCGTTTTAGATTATATGTTACTGTTAAAGATAAGACAAAGCACCGTAAATTGTAATAAGTATGCATCTTAAATAACAGGTCGGAATTTAAAAACAGTTGATGTACGGAATCGTTTAACTGAGGAAAAGACCATCATAATCAGGCATTCCCGATACTATAAACTGAATACGCTCCATGTATCTGGAAAGATCCCAAATTCTATCTAGTTGATCACCTCCCTACCTTATATACTTATTGACACGAAGCAATATCTATTCTTATTCGTTTGCATATAAACTTTACGCCGCCATACATATCGTTACTTGAGAGCGTGCAGGCCAT